TCAAACCTATAAAATTTTACAATAATCATCTTTACATTCATATTCTTATGAAGATTATTTTTTTCAAAACAACACGTAAAAAAGAAAAACATTTGTATATTCAAAAATTCTTCTTTAAAATATTTTAACACATTAAAATGGAAATTTTCTTTTATATTATAAATTATATTTTTTTTTCTTCAAATGGTGTCAATATTAACACATTTTAATATGTATGTCGAACATCTATTTCAATCTTACCTGAATAATTATTGATCACATTGCTGTACGTACCATTTTTCTTCTATCAATCTTAGCTAATGCTAAGATCGACATTCGACATTAAAAAATATAGTTAGATTAAAAAAGACTTGTATATAGTTTTACTTCATAGTTCTTTTTTTTTTATTTTTCGATGTTGTTGCTTTTTGATATATAAAGATATAATACTAGTCAGCTTCATTTCTTCTTGTTCTCGGCACTCTTTGAATTGTGAATGTATATTTATATAGTGTGCATGCACGAATGGTAGTGCTTGTCGACAACGCTATTCATTCAATTCATCTCCTAATATTGCCATACACAATTCATTCAATTCAATTCACCAGTAGTTGTAGCAGTAACAGCAGTTTCTTTTTTCTCCGTGCTTTCAAAGCACCCATATATATATACAAAACGACACAAAAGCCGCTTAGATACGGTTGATTGAAATGGCAGTTGCCCTGTCTTTTCCTTTTTTTTTTTCTCTTTTTATTTCTCTCTCTCTCTCTCTCTCTCTCTCTCTGTCTCCCACTCTTTCTCTATGCCTTTTTTTGACCCACATGAGTTGTCTTTATGTATCGTCGTCGTTGTTGAGTATAAAGGATACTCTTCACTTCGCCTCCTGTGCGTCCCTTTTGTTCGTATGTCCCTTCTCCTTTTGAAATCAACACAACAATAACACATCCATATATTCATGAGGCAGTCAAGCAGGCGAACGAATGAATGAATGAAAGAATGAGTGAATGAATGAATAAAAGAATGAATGAATGAATGAATGAATGAATGAATGGATGAATGAAAGAAGGTTGCCCTATAGCTATTCTACATAGTATTAAAAATGAGTAAAGAAGTCTTTCTTCTCTCTTCCATGTCTACCTGATCTATCCGATTGACAAAGTATATACATATTCAGCAATCAACTATGATGGAAAGATGATTGTTCGCTTTTGTTCTCTACGTATATGTGTTTTAAGCATGAATGGAGAAGATAGGAACGAAAGAATAATAGAAAGAAACACACACACACAATCTTTTCATAAAAAATATATTAAAAAATAAAAAGAGCGTCAGTTGCTATAGTTAGTTAGCATCCGGTGACGCGTACCCACAGTTATTTTTCCTTCTTTTTCTTTTTTCTTTTATTTGACAGTCTCATTTGTCTACTATTCTTTTTTTTTTTTCAATTATATAATTAAATTAATTTGTCGATATATAACTAGTCTTAGAAGTCTTTCGAGGATAAAAACTATACAAAGAATTGCAGAGAATAATATTGAATTTCAACAGTTTTCTATAAAGGAGTATAGAAGAAGTTTTGACCAAGGTTGGTATTCACAGTACATAGACTATTGTCCAATTCAGAGTTAAATGGCCGTGGACATTTTTTGAATAACTTTTGATAGGAACGAGATAGAGATTTTGTGATTTTCACCGTTGGAAAGAGCAGATGAAGTTGCATTGAATTATATATAGAAAGATTTTTTCTAACTACTTTCCTAAAGGTTTAGTCAAAAAGTTTTCAAAGAATTGCTTTTTTCTTCTACGTGAAAAAAGTGACTTTTCTATCAAAATAGTACAAAAATTTACATTTTTCAATTATTTTATTGAAAAAAAAAATGAGGTGGTAAATTGTATTCCGATGATTTGGATATTATACTGGTAGTAGTTAGGAACAGAGTCTTGATATAGTTTTCTAGCCCTTTCTTTGACGATTCTAGCGCACAACTGAAAATCAATAAATTACTATCTTGACCATGAGAAACATGCTGTTTTTCTTGAAGTTTTATGTAAAACCTATCGGAAAGTAGCTAGAAAAATTTTTCTATACATTATTCGATGCATCTTCATCTGCTCTATCCAACAGTGAAAATCGCAGATCTCTATCTCATTTCTATCAAAAGTTATTCCAAAAAATACTCACGATTATTTAACTCTGAAATGGACAATAGACGTCTATATGCTAGAATTTCAGTTTTTTTTTACTTCTTATTATTATAGAAATACAACAGATGTCAAAATTCTAAGAAGTTTTGAAATCGTCATGGATGAATAAAATTGTAATCGTTCGATTACTCCCACTCATGTTACAAGTAACGTTTGCTTGTCTTTTTTTTGTTTGCATATATAATTCTTTCGTTTTGTAAGTTGTTCACGCTATTATGATTGAAGAGAAGATTATACTATCTCTTTGCTTTTTGATGATTGTGAAGCGTACAAAAACAACAAAATATACGAAGAAATTACATGAAAAAATATTGATGAATGTATTGACCCTGAAATAGATCATGAGAAATATGATTTTCTTTATTATTTATTTAAAAAGAAACTCAATTTATAAATTTTCTTTCATACAATTCATGTACTATTTTAAAATACAATGAATGAAAGTTTAAATCAAGATTGTTACGAATAATCAACTCTAGCTAACAGATGGTGAGAGACAGGATCAATGATCATGAAATTTCTAACTAGTCTAATCATTACGGGTTGTGAGATTTAACGTGAGGAAAAGCATTTGATTGTAGGTATCAACAAAATGATATTTGCCGTTTTCTATGGTATCTATTATGAATATTATACAAATAAGTTTCTTTTAGTATAACAAAAATTAAATGAATCAAATAAATTGGTACCATAACGATTTTTGTGATATATAAAAATTTTCAAAATAATAAAATTTTAGAGCGCTTGTATCAATGAAACATATTATTATAATAATTTCGAGATTTAGAATTATATCATAAGTTATTCATTAAAAGTTTTTTCTTAAATTATTTTTCATTACTCAAATATTAAATTGAATGAAAAAAATGAGTATCAACCAAGTATTAATCTTAATAATTATAATTTATTTGATAGACCGCTTTTTTAATGTTACCGACTGATGAAATCTGAGAGTTAAAACAAATGAATAGTTGAATATGATTTCGTTCTCTTTTATATTTTTAGTATATTACTTTGACGGATTTTTGTGTTCCTTAAGGGCCCCCCCCCTCCCTCAGAAAATCCAGTTTTTCGGAGATGAGGCAAAATTGAAGTTTTATCATAGCAAGATGCACTGAAGTCTCCTCTTTCAGAATATCTATGTTTTATCGAAAAATGAATTGATTTTGACGAACTTATCGTCTAAAACTTGGCTTCTACTATCATATTTTTTGAGAAATTTTCATGATGTTTTTTCGAGGTTTTTCGACTTTTTAGGCTGCTTTCTCTTTGCATCAGCATTTCGTAAAGTTTCTTTTTAATACCAATCACTAAGAGACTACCAACACTTAATATTAAGATCACAAATTTATAGCCTGTCTTGAACATTGATATATAAATCAGGTGATTTTCGGAAAAATCGACTTCTAATAGTTATTTTTCGTTTTTCTCAAAATCGATTTTTTCGAGAACACTGTTTACGCGTTCAAGGATTTTTTAATAACGACTCAATAGATAAGGGATAATTTTTTTTTGTTGAATAGAGAACAGTTAGGGGTAGGTCGTAATAGAGCCCGATTTTTGAATTTCTCTTTTGGTGAAATAAAAAACTTAGTTATTTCATTTTTATTAGCAATTTTTTTGGGCATGATTTTGTGAATTTTACGAAAAAGCTTTTTTAAAAATCAAACAAAGGGAAATTCAAAAATCGAGTTCTATTACGACCTAGCCCTAAGAGCACTCGACAACCTGAAAACCGCCCCAACATGTTAGCTCGTATCCTTATTGCAAAATCCTTGAACGCGTAAAGGGTAATGAATTGACTAGAACTTGTGCATTTCTTTGAGATTTGAGGGAGATATTTTAACCATAAGCTATTCTAATCAAGACTAACATTCTCTGAAATTTTGGTTGAAATCGGATGAAAAATAGAAAAGTTCATTTCTGAGGGGGGACCTTAAAAAACTTATGGAAATTACGCTTAATGTTATCTTCCATCATTTCATATAATCGGTTAAGATAAAATCATTAGACTACAACATCAAAAAAAAAGTATTACGATGGAAGTCTTTCAACTAATTAATTGCTGTTGAATAGAACTATATGCACTTGCGTTTGTATTGTAGAGATACTGTATTACTATGTTATTTTTCAATTAAATGTTGTAATTCTCCTGAGAAATGCCTAATAGACATTTATGATAAAATATTAATTACACATATAAACTGAGAGATTTGGTGTTGGTATTTCAGAAGAGAAGTAAATCAAACGATACGAAATTTTCATTTTGAAATTTAAAAATCAGTTTTTCTGATGTTCTTTAGTGGGAAAGAGAGCAAGGCAATAATCTATAAAAATATAGTATCTTCACAGCAATTAGCCATGGGCTAGAACTATTCTCTTTGTCAAAATAAAAAGAAAAGATACTATTTTTAATGTGTGTTCGATTACTTTTTTTTAATACTGAAATCATATATATAGATATACAATTACTGATGTATGTTTATATTTTGATTTCTATATTTATTTTATTACGTATAAGATTTCATCAATTATATTTGGCTTCTGTAGATGTGAATCACTATTGAAAATGAATATTTTTGCCCTTTATTTTTATCTTTTCATTTGAATGAAATACCCAACAAAAAAAAAAATAAATATGTTTAATTGATTCATTTCATTTATCATTTGGTGTAGAAAACAAGAATTCAATTTGTAAAACAATTTATTTTTTTTTTTTTTACAAATAAAAGGTAAACAAAATTTATTTTTCTACATTAAAATAATTTTAGTATCTAGTTATTATATTTGATTATCATCAAGAGACAAGTTAAATAATGTTACTATCACGTATATATATTTATTTTTTAATAATATTATTATTGATAATTTATTGTTGTGAAGCACAAAATGAAATACGTAATGCTGTAAGAGCTAAAACTCATAGAAAAATTAAAGAAGGAAGACAAAAAATTGAACGTGGAAGAAAAGCTGCTAAATATATTAAAAATCAAGCAAGAGTACCATATGATCGAGCAACTTCAAAAGCAAAACGAAAATATCAAAATACAAAACGAAAAATACAAGCAATCGAACATATTATTAATTCATAAATTTTTTTTCTTGTTATTTTAATTTTTATGAAATCACTATAATCATTCAATCTATTTATCAATGAAAAACTGTAAAAAGAAAAATAATTTACCTTTTTTTTTTTTTAAATATATATTAAAAGATATTCTAAATGAAACTCAATATCAATGAATAGTTCCTCTGAAAACTTAAGAATACCATCCTTCTCTTCATTTCACATTGGACATAAAGTATAGTAAACTCAAATCGAAGAAAGTTAAAGACTCTTAAATTCATAGTTTTAAGACATATATCGCTTGTCAATCTATGAACATAAAATTTACATTTTTGAAAAAAATGCTAATAGCTCTTAAATTATCTGTGATAACTTGTACGATAGAAATAATTTTTATTTATAATATTTTTGAAAAAATATTGACTTTTTTGCATTATTTTTGTGCATAAGAATTTGATTGATATTTACATAGTATTAGTAAATTTCTCTATGTATTATGCTATAAGTATTATTTTCATTGACAAGAGAGTTTTTGTAATTCAAGATAGACAATATCTTTTTAAATTAAAGCCTTGGGTTACAACAACGAAATGACTCGAATATCAACAAAAAGAAGATCACATCATTATTTCATGAATGTAAGTTATTATAAGATATTGATTATTCTCGAAATAGAAAACTTTACTGAATGGTAGCATCCAGTAGCGTACGCAGGAGGGCCGACGGGGCCCGCCTCCCCCCCCCCCCCTGGGACCAAAAAATCCTGGAGGGGGGGACCAGGAAAAATATTTTCACGTGATAAAAAATTTTTTGTGCCACGTGCCGCCCCCCCCCCCCCCCTTGAAAAATTTCTGCGTACGCCACTGGCAGCATCTTTTAGGAATCAATGGCAATTCGAAAAAAAGTTCTTTTTTTGAGATTCTACATAAACTTGTCTTATAGAGACTTGCATAGAAGTCATTTTTAAGAGCAATAACAATTCTCTAAACTGTCTATGTATTTTGAAAGTATGATTCATGTTTCCTCAAGGTTTTACAAAGATGATGCAAAGTCAGAATTAAATTTGACTTTGATACATGTCTCTTGTACCATAACATAAAATATATTCTTTTATTAATACATAAGATTATAAGCTAAATTTATTTTGATATAAATCCATTATTAGTAGATTAAATTAGGAGTTTTATTATTTTGTGAAGACTTATACCATCAAAAAGAAAAACAAAATTTGATCTTGATATTAAAAATACTGTGAATATTCATTGATTAAATATTTGATTACACTAAACGATATTCTTGCCTTTACGATCTCTAGATTCTTGATAGAGAATACACATTCTTTTCTTTTTCATATATTTCACCATATAAGATGCTTAGTATAAAAAGAAAACAGAACTTAACTTTCTGTTAAAATCTATTCAAAGTAAATCTTGACTAATGAAATAAGAATAAATTTTCTATCGGCTTCTTAAATTTTAATCTCATTCTTGACATTTGCATGTAACTTCTCACATACGTCAACAAGATTATTTTCTTTTATTCTTGTCTTATTTTCACTTATGTTTTTAAGAAAAGTACCGACAAAAATAAAAAAAATAACAACAATTAAAGTACATTCTTCAGATGAAATTCAGCAAGATGACGTAAATAATTTTTATAATATATTTTGACATTTTCATTAAAGAAAATAAAAAGAATAATCTTTTATACTAAAAGTACACATATTTTATAATGAGCTTGTCTTACTTCATACTCATCATCTAGAATCCATAACACTCATTAGTAGATTAGCAAATTCATTTTCTCTTCTTCCATATATAATCATAATAAAAATAAAAGTTAAATTCAACTATTGAAGACTTTTACAAATATTTCGATATAGTACTGCATGCGTGCATTTACACGAGGAGAAATCCTACAATTGATTAATTGTTTTTTTTTTAAGTCAAAACTATATGCATCATGAATATGCAAATGACTATTGAATATCTTGAAAATAGTTCGGACCTTTAGTTTATCAATATCTAGATACTGTATTTTTTTTTGGATAGTTTTTATATGTGGAGTATAATAACGGAATGTAAAACACACACACTTTTCCCATAGCTATATTTTAAATATTTACGGGAAAAAATTATTCTCGTTAAAGATAATATCTATGCAAAGTTTCAAGTTGAAAACCAGTTTTTATAATGTTTCATAACAAAATGAATTATTACCTCTAGTGACAGATTCATTAGTCGATAAGATCATTTCATCGCTGAAGTTTTTTAAATTTCATGTAAGTCAACAGAGATTAATCAATATGAAAGACTTTTCCCTCATGATAAAATAAATTTCTTGATTTATTTTATTTTCTATTTTTGCAAAAAAAAAATATACATTAAATGAAAATATTTCGGAAAACTTAAAATGCATTCAAATAAATAATATTTTGATTGCATAATTCATGTGCGCGTGCGTTAATCATCAAAATATATATATCACAAAGCAAACAATTAACATTTAGATATGATCTAGATATTGGAAGAGGGAAAAACGCACAAAAAAAAAAAAATAAAAATAATATAATAGAATTAAGAAGAGAATGAATCAATTTGTAAATAAGCTCGTGGTACTCGTCCTCGTTCTTTTGATATTTGTTTTTCGACTGTTATCCAGTCTGATTCACTAACATCTAATATAATATTTACTGTCTAAAAATAATCATATATATATATATATTATGAAATTTAATTCAATGATTATTTTATACTTCTTTAGCAACAATACTAAGTTCATTAGTATCAGATGCATTATAATCAAATTTGACAATTGCAGTGCGTAAACGAGATGATGATGATGAAGTATTCGATATTGTTTTTGACAAGCTGAATAATAAAATTATTATTTTTTCATTAGAAAAAAAAAAAAAATAATAATAATAATAAATAAATTCATGAAAACAAAATTAATACCCAATTTTTTTATGTAAATCTTCAAGAATTTGTACTGATTTTTGATGATATTGTAATTCAGATTCAACCAAATCAAATAAACAACTTAAATGATGATTCTAACAAAAAAAACAACGAATAAAGTTTTTGTTGTACAATAAATATTTATATATATATATACTTGAGAATTTTGTAAACCATCAAGTATTAAACGTGTTATATGATATTGACGTTCAAATTCAGTTTGTGCGTGACGAACATCTGCATCCAAACTCTAAAGAAATTCATCAAAATCTATTCCAATCAAAAACACACATTGATTTATTAGATAAGCAAAAAAAAAATGCTGAAAGGATTCTTCTTCTTCTTGTATAACTTTCATTAGCAAATATTCATAGTCAACGGATTTAAGCTTATATTCGAAATCTAAAAATAGAATAAGCAAAAAACAAAATACTCACATCAGCCATTGCTACGGGTGTATTAGTATCTCGACTGAGTATTTTATTTTTTTTTTGTTTTGATCGTGCAGCATCAAGATCAAGACGTCTCATTTCTAATATTCGACGTTCTTTCTAAAATTTTGATTTAATTAAACAAAAAAAAGAAAATTATCTATATATAAATTATTTAATAATTAATATTTACTGTTATTGATTTCATTTCACCTTCTAGAAAACTTTTTAATGGTTGTATATAACTTACAGCTACTGATTGAATAAAATCTTTATAATTATGACCTAATTTTTGATGAGTTTGACCACATTTAATTAATGTTGAACCTAAATAAGCAAAAAAAATATTATTTAAATAAGAAAAATATAATTAATTTCTTATACCATATTGTTTTGTTTGACCAAATTCATTTCCTGCTTCAATCATACATTGACCTAATTGTTCAATTATATTTGGTTTATGTGGTGTTATTGTTTTTTGATCGAGTTTAGTTAGAATAAAATCTTCAAGACGTTCATCTAGAGAATATTTTTATTCATTTTCTTAGAAATTCTATTCATTTATTTAGAATATAGTTTTTTTTATAACTTACTTGGATTTGGTTGAAGAAATATTTCAATATTAGATATTAATCGTTCAGTCCACGCTTTTGCTCGATCAGCTTCTAATAATAAATGATCAAAATTTTCATCATAAGCCGTTCTATCAGTTGCTTGGCCAAGTTTTTCTTCTGTAAACTAAATAGAGATTTGTTTAATTAATTGATGTATGTAGTTTTTTATGGAAAATACCTGTTTAGCTCGTGATAGTAAAGTACCAGCTGCCTTTAAATTGAAGTTCATCCTTCTTCTTTAATATACACGCGTGTCTATGTCGTTAGAAGATGAAACAAGTGAACACATACCCTAGTTAGTTTGACTTGCTGTCAAAGTGAAAGAGAGACCGAGAGAGGGAAAGAAAAAGAAAGCTAAGATACAGAGAGAAGAAAAAACTAGAAGAAGAAGAAGAATGACATTTTTTCAGATGTGACGAGATGAAGAAAAACTAATACGGCAAAAGCAACTCGATCATTGTGTTTTACTCATGACCGACAAAACGCATTGGGGTGAAAAGATAAGGAGGGCGAAAGAGAAAAAGAAAAAGTGATGAAAAATTTGATTTTGCGTCGTATGCTCATGTTTTTTCTTTCCTTCTTCTTCTTCATTTTTTTTTCTTCTGCTTCTGTTCACATGCACATTATCATCAAAAACCACTTCATTTACTATTTTTTGATGATAGTAGTTTCTCAATGATTATCACAAGTGCTTAATGCTACTATTATAAGACAAAAAAAAACAAAAAAGAACAAACATATGTGAATTGTCATTTTGTTACACATAAATATATATATATGAATGATTTTGAATATTGCATGACAGGAAAAATATTAATTACTAAAACGGAAATCGATACATTGATTGATACATGAATACCTTTGTAAATAACTTTTTAAAAATCTTGTCTTTAAAATGTATATCGTCAAATATAATCAATTAAATTAATCTGATCATATTTGACGATCTTAAATAAGACAGAACAAAAAAAAAATTACAGATTGATTGTATCCTCTATCATAAAAACTGACGATGTTTCT